ATTTTTATTGGATAATTAGGTTATACTGCAGCTAAAAAATTGGCGCCTATATAAAAAATATGTTGGCTTTAGGTGAAATCCACTGTATAAAAAAAATTTTAGATAAAGATACTGTATATTCATATTTATAATAAAATTTATATATAAAAAAATTTTGAACCAAGTGATTAGAGAATTGCCTATTAAGGAAGTTATCTAAAGTAAGTAAAGATAAATTACATGATAATCATCATGATTGGTCAAAAAATAAACATAATGATTAGCTAAAATTTTTATATAACAAAATAAAAACTTTAAAAAAAGTATCTTGATCTAGTAGTTTTTAAGATACTTTCACTCAAAGTTATCAAATTTAGAGTACAAATATCAATTCCTGATAGAAAAAAGCAAATTCAATACAAAATAAAATTTATTTATTTAAACAAACAACAAATATGATATAATAAAAATTATTTTCTTGAGATTTTCCAGATGAAAATATAACTAGATTTATTGCTAATTATTTTTATCACTTATTTGCTTTCTTAATTTATTTTTGAAGTTTTTAGTACTTTGAGGATAAAACAAATAAATAAAAAATAAATAAAAAAAAAAAACACAAAATTAAAAAAAATAAAAAATAAAAATTTCATTGTGTGATCATAATATGACTATAAATAAAAGATCTTTATACCCACCAACTAAATAAATAATCTGTTATTTTTAAGAGTCAAATAAATCTGTACGATATTCTTGTAAAATGTATCTGCAAGATTATTAAAATAAAAATTCTAAAAAGCTAGCATGATATTATTACAAAATATATCTAATAATGCTTCTTTCTTTAAGATTATTTCAACTACAAATCAAAGAATAAATATGGTATTCTTGCAAAATATGTCTGCTAATGCTTTTTCCTCTTCTATTCCAAAATTATTAAAATTAAGATCCAAATAAGTTAATGTGATTACAAGTGCATCTGATAATGCTTCTCTCTTTAAGATTATTACAACTGCAAATCAAATAATAAGAGTAGTATTCTTACAAAAATGCATTTGCTAATGCTTTTTCTCCTTCATTTCTTTATTAAAATAAAGATTTTAAAAAGTCAACGTAGTGTTATATTGCTTCTCCCTCTAATCCAAGATTATTTCAACTAAGAATAAAAAAAATCAGTATGGTGTTCTTGTAAAATGTATTTACTAGAATCTTTCACAGAATGCAAGGTTAGTATTAGTTCTATAAGTATTTAAATTATAATGCTTTCCTATTCTTGTTTCAAGATTTTTAAAATAAAGATTCAACAAAGCCAGCATGTGTTATTACAAAATGCACTTTCTAATACAATCCAAGATTATTCACACTAAAAATCAAAGAAGTCAATATAATGTTCTTGTAAAGTGCATTTGCTAGAATCTTTCACAAAAAGCAAGATCAGTATTAGTCTAATATGTTTAAAATTATAATGCTTTTTCTCTTTCTATTTTAAAAAAACTAGCATGATGTTATTGTAAAACACATCTTCTAATGCTTTTTCTTCTAATCCAAGATTCAAAGAATAAGTATAATGTTCTTGCAAAATGTGCTTGCTAATGCTTTTTCCTCTCTCTGTTCCAAGATTATTAAAATAAAGATTCAAACAAGCTCATATAGTTTTATTCCAAAGTATATCTGATAATGCTTCTTCTTCTAATCTAAGTTATTCTAACTACAAATCAAAGAATTATCATGTGGTGTTCTTGCAAAAATGCATCTGCTAATACATTTCTTTCTTCATTTTATTATTAAATTAAAATTCTAAAAAGTTAGCATGATGTTATTGCAAAGTGTATTTGATAATGCTTTACTCTTTAATCCAAGATTAAAATTCTAAAAAGTCAGCGTGATATTATTGCAAAGTGTATTTGATAATACTTCACTCTTTAATCCAAGATTATTTCAAGAATCAGAGAAGCTAGTGTGGTGTTCTTGTGAAATGTATTTGCTAGAATCTTTACAAAAAACAAGACAGTATTATTTCTATGAGCATTTAAATTATAATGTTTTCTCTCTTCCTGTTTCAAGATTTTTAAAATAAAGATTCAACAAAGCTAGCGTGATATTATTGCAAAACATATCTTCTAATGTAATCCAATATTATTTCTACTAAAAATCAAATGCATTAGTGTGATGTTCTTGTGAAGTATATCTATTAAAATATTTCACAGAAAACAAGATCAGTAGTAGTATAATATGTGTTTAAAATTATAATGCATTTTCTTTTCCTATTTCAATAAAAATTCAAAAAGCTAGTGTGGTATTATTATATAATGTACCTTCTAATACTTTTCCTTTTTATCTAAAATTATTTTGACTACTAATCAAAGAATAAGCATGATTTTGCAAAATGCGTCTGCTAATGCTTTTTCCAAAATTATTAAAATAAAGATTCAAAAAACTAGCATAGTTTTATTCTAAAATGCATCTGATAAGGCTTCTTTCTCCCTCTAATCTAAAATTATTCCAACTACAAATCAAAGAATAAGCGTGGTATTCTTGTGAAAATGTGTCAGCTAATGCTTTTTCTCTTCTGTTTCATTATTAAACTAAAAATTCCAAAAAAGTCAGTGTGTAATATTGCAAAGTCATTATTAAACTAAAAGATTCTAAAAAAGTCAGCATGTGATATTGCAAAGTGCATCTGATAATGCTTTTTCTCACTGTAATCTAAAATTAATCTAACTAAGAATCAAAGAAATCAGAATGGTGTTCTTGCTATATGCATCTGCTAATGCTTTTTTTCCTTCTGATCTATTATTTTTCCGATATAAAACTATTTCATTCAAAATTCAAAAAAGTTAGGGCAGTATTTTTGCAAAGTGCATCTGCTAATGTTTTCCTCTTAATTCAAGTCTATTAATATGAAAATTCAGAGAAGTCAGCATGGTGTTCTTGCAAAGTGCGTTTAATTGATAATCTGCCTATCAACTAGAGAATAGGCAAAATGTGACATCTTCTATATAAAACTTTTTTTCTTACTAAGTTAATAATATATGCACACTAATTAAAAGTTGTAAAGCTTGTCGAGACGCATCTAACAGTGATTAGATCATCCAAATCAGCCTAGTTGATAGCGAGATATTGTCAAAAAGAATTGGTCAACTATATAAAAATCTGTGATAAAAATCATATAAAAATTACTATAGCCGAAATGTGGAGTGCTTCCATCTAAAACTTTTTTTTACTAAATTAATGATACATGCCTCTAATTGAAAGTTGTAGAGCTCGTCGAGATGTATCTAACAGTGGTTAGATCATCTAAATCGGCCTAGCCGATAGCAAGATATCGTTAAAAAATGATTGGCCGACTATATAAAATCTCTATGTAAACAATATTTATTTACATAGAGATTTTATATAGTTGACCAATCATTTTTCAACAATATCTCGCTATTGGCTGGGCTGATTTGGATAATCTAACCACCGTTAGATGCGTCTCTATGAGCTCTACAACTTTCATCTAGTGGGTATATATCGTTAACTTAGTAAAAAAAAAGTTTTAGATGGAAGCACTCTACATTTCGGCTATAGTAATTTTCATATGTGATTTCCATCATGAATTTTTATATAGTTGGCCAATTATTTTTTGATTATATCTCGCTATTGGCTAGTCTGATTTGGATGATCTAACTACCGTTAGATACATCTCGATGAGCTCTACAACTTTCAATTAGTAGGCATGTATTATTAATTTAGTAAGAAAAAAAGTTTTATATAGAAAATGTTATATTTTGCCTATTTTCCAGTTAATAGGTGGATTATCAATTAATGCTTTTTCTTCTAGTCCACGTGTATTTAAATAAAAGTTTAAGTCAGTGTTCCTACAAATATATTTTTTAAGACCAGAAAGTTTTGCTAGTCTAGTTTTCAGATCTATTTGATGATAAGTATAGATGTTGTGCAATTTCTCATTCAATAATATGATTCTAAATTTTTATCTTTTTCATTTTTAAATTATCATATTTAATGAGAGAAACTAATGGATAGATTATCAAAATTCATATTAAAAATTACATGAAACAAAGTGAGCGGATAGTTTATTTAAATACACCAATTAATAAAAGATCGTTATACCTATATTAAAATTATTACAAATAAAGTGAACCTAAATAAAAAATATAATGTTTGTAGTATTATAAAATTGAATAACAATTTAAATGCACCCAATAAATAAAAGAACTGAATTAATAAAAAAAAAATAATGTAATAATAAAATTCAATACGAATTTAAGTGCATTAATAAATAAATCAGTAAATCTAATAAGTAAAATAATACGAACGTAAAGAAGAGATAAGTATTATAATTTATAACTTGTTCAAATATACAGATTAATAAAAGATCCTTATATCTATTGAATAAATTATCACAATAAAATGAATCTAAATAAATAGCAGAAGTTAGTGGCAAATTTATACAAAAATATAATAACAAAGCGAATCTATATGTGAAATATAGATATTATAATGCTAATAACTTGTCTAAACATTAGTCAATAAAATGTCTATACTTACTAACTAAAAAATAAAATAAAAATAAAAAATAACAATACAATAAAAAATAATCTAAGAATACAATTATATTTTACAAATATCAAGAAAAATAATATTTATTTAACTTTAATTTTTAATTATTTACATTTAATTAATTAAATTACAATATAATCAGATTTAAAAAGATTTCTAATAAAGAAATATAAGCCTCCACCCTTTCAGTATCACTCATTTCTTCAACATTCCAGTATCTATCACACACCTTTTCAGTTAATTCGACTATAACAATTTTTCGATTTTCAGCTCTTCTTTGTTCTTCTGTTTGCACATATTTTGTAACTAACTCCTGACTTTCATATACCTCAAATCTACTTTCTTCAAATATTTCCTGAAATGCTCTCCATATCTTATTAGTCAGTAACTTATTACTATACATATTTTTATAAAAATATGTTTATATGGCAATAAATATCAATTGCAAAATAAGCAATAGCAATTAATAAAAGTCAAACCCGAAGTATCTTTCTTTTTCTCAAGTTTAGTCATTACAGCACAAACCTCTTTAACAAGAAGGTGTTGAAATAGGAGAGGAAATTTGTGAATTTGCTCAATAATATTATTTTTAATGCCATGCGCAGATATTTTTTTAATACAAAAATCAAAGACAGTGCTCTCGGACTTACTCTTTTTCTTTGATCAATATCGACAATACCATAAACAGTATCTAAAATAAATATAAATTAAACATATTATATATGTGTGTAAAAAAGATTATACAATAATAAAAAAGAATACATACCAAATAAACCATGTAATGAAAATATTAATTTTTTAATTCACTATAAAAAGATTTCAACAGATTTGTAGACGTAACTTGCAAAAACAAAGGAGAATATTAGCGAGCCCACAAACCTTATTTTTATATATTTTTCACATAGTTCCTTTTAATATAATTTTGTATAGTGAGAATGAAGCAGCATCTAATAGCATCCTTTCATAATCAACTTTTGTTCATTTGTATATCGCTATAATCATAGTATCCTGGGTTTCTTTATTATATATTTTTTGTATCTATGTTCTCATAACATAAACGACACAAAGGATAATTTGATATTCTTGTTCATCAGCAATTATACCAGGAAAGGCTTTCTTAATACTCTTAACCTTAATACTATTCTGATTGAAGAGTATATATCTTGAAAGCCAGCAATAGCACTTTTTACGGATTATCAACAATGCCTCAGCAACTGTATCACTATCTTTGCTACTTACAAAAAAGTAAGCATCTATATTCTAATAGCCGTAAATATTACAGATATAAAGAGTAAACAAGTACCAATTGATTTTGTGTATCAAATATATAAGTATTAGCCACCCATGTTTTGCAAGTTTTTCAAGTTGCACCAAATATATGAATACTATACCCTTAGTAGATCAGTGATAAACACTATAAGCCTTTATAATATAACCTTTTTCTATTAAAAAAGATATAGCTTCTGAGATATTTACTTGTAAATTAGAATGTCTAATGAGATGAGCTTCTATAGGTCTATGAACTTTATATTTAATATTTGTTACTTCTTTACATTTCAGCTTATACATACTCTTACTAAGGCTCAACTTGGTTGTTGTATATTCTTTGATAGCGGCTGTTATTGCAGATGGGGAATAATTTTTTACTGCCTCCTTTTTAACCAAACTTTTAACAATATTTGATCATTTTATCCTATTACCTTCCAACAATGTGTGTGCGGTTTAGAGAGTCTCTATACTATTTTATTTGAACCACCTTTAGAACAACTAGCCAAGAAATTTCAATTTTTGCAAGACATAAGCCAGAGGGCTGTTTCTTTGTTATTTAGCATTTTTTATTAGTGATATTTTTTCTTTTGTCTAGTGCTTGATTTATGGTGTTTTGTTAAGCAGTATACAAAAACCTTTCAAATATCACTATTCATCTATTTGTATAAACCCTATTGTATCCAAAAATTTGAGACCAATGAGCACTAATTTTTATTAAAATCTTCAATTTGAATTTTTAAAAGACCATTTACATTAAAAAAAATAATTACACCTTTCATTCGGTGTGAGTGATAACAAAATTAAAGCAGCTAAAGATGTATCAACTATTATATCTAAGGGAATATCTGTGGGAGCAAAAAATATAGTACCCAAGAAAGCAGAAGGCATATTACCCAAGAGAACAGATAATATCAAAGGAGCAGACGAGGTGGTACTCAAAGAAGTAGAAGATGCTGTGTTCAAGAAAACAGAAGACATAACACCCAAGGAAGCACCTGCTATAACACTCAAGAGAACAGCAGTCGCAAGAGACATAACTGAAAAATAAAATATATATATCTTTTTTTTTGTTTATTTTTTTTTGTTTCTACTTTTTTCTTGTAAATTGTTCTTAACCTGACAAAGTTTAGTTTAATAAAACAAAAAATAACTACATTACAGTATTTATTATAAGTTGTTTAAAAAAAAAAAATATATATATATATATACAACAAAAAAAAAATTTTTTTTCTTTTTTTTATACTTTATAAAGATCAAATGACCAGGTCAATTAAAGTTTATATTACGAACTTACAAGCTAGTTCAAAGATCAGATTATGAAAGAAAAAAACCTATGATAAAAAACAAAAAATAAAAATACTTATAATGATAAATATTTCATTATAAAAAAAAAAAAAAAATCGTGACTTATTTAAAAATCAAAAAAAATAAATGTGATCAGTAAAATAAAAAAAAATATGTATTGATAACAAATCAAAATCAGACTTATCAGAACAAAAAATCGTATATATGTATGTATAGTACATATGTATGTATGTATATATATATTGTACATACATATCTATCTCAACCAATTATACCTTTTGTAGTATTTAACTAATCATAGTCATAAGTTGTATCATGTGATTTATCTCTGCTTTAGACGTCCCCTATTAAGTAAAATAAAATATTATATAATAATAAAGAGAGTAGCTAATCTTAACTAATTAATATATGATCTTTTGCTAGTTAACTAACTTAATACTAATAAACAAAATTAGAATATTGTATACATATTGGTGAATATTTTATAAACTTTAAATCTAAATAGCTTATTATTCAAATCTTCATATTTAACGATTTAGTTTATAAAAATTTTGTATATAGTAATAAAAATCTAATTAATAAATAATTCTTACAAACAAATAAACAAATAAAGAAACATAAAGTATTATAAAGTTTTTTGACTTGTAATTTTTGTTTAGTTGGCAAAGATTATAACAAAGTTTTTAAGTTTTTATAGATTGGCCCTTTTAAATAAATATAAAATCTTGCAAGCTTTTTAGTCTTATTTATTTCTTCAACAAAAGTTAATCAGTATAGATTATTGTAGATTATCTAAACTATAGCTTCTCTATTATCTATTTATATATTTATTTATAACTTTCTATTAAAAAATTAAATATACAAAAAATGCCAACAAAAAGATAACAGGAGCTAATCCAATCTGAAATTTAGTATATAGATTATTCTAGAACTTGATTTTCTAATTTAGTATATTCTCTAACTATAGTGATATACTAATATCATATCTACATAAATTTGAAATAGACAATTTATCATCTTCTACAAATAATGATTACTAAATTCTAACTTTAACATGAATATTCTATTTGTACTTTTTTGAACCAACCAAAAATATAAATATAAAAGAAAAATATTTAATTACAAATCAATATCCAAAGAAGACTAGAAATTCTTTACAAACCAAGTTAATATAAATATAGCTATATATCAAGTTCTCACCAATATTGATATAACAGAAAGTTTTAAAAAAACATGGCACAAAATATATACTTGTATTATTAATACAGTATACCAATATATTTCTAATAAAAAATTATAACAAAAAACTTCTTTTACACATTTATCTCAAAGCAATACAATTTTATAAAGATTTCAAAACAATTAAACATATAATACACTAAACTATGCATTACAACTATTTTTATTACTTAATTAGTAATTGGTAAAAACTAATATACTATTATAATTTAGTTTTACTAACAATTTTATTTTCAACCAAAAATTAATTTTATAAAATCTAAATTAAACTACCTTAAACCAAAAGTGGTTTAAAAAACCTAATTTGAGTAATATTAAACTAAGAGTTTGTTTAGAGAAATCTAATTTAAATTATTTTAAACCAAGAATTAGTTTAAGAAAAACTAAATTAAATTATTTTAAACCAAGTTTTAGTATAATAAAACTAATTTGTATTACTTTAATTTAAGAATTAGTTTAAAAAATTTAATTTAAATTATTTTGAATTAATAGTTAGTTTTAAGAAACTAAAGTTGATTACTTTTTTTTTTTTTTTTTTTTTTAAGAATGGTATTTTTTGCCTAAATTTTTTATTACATATATTATAATTACAAATTATATAATAACTATAGTACAACTAGTAAGATTTCAGCTTAGAACTATTTTATTCACAAATATATATCTCTACTTGATCTATCTAACTCTATTTTTAGTATATATTAGGATTTTCTATACTATTATATTATGTTTTAATATATTTTTTATATACTATATAAACTACCAGATTGGTAAAATTTTTTTGCTATTATATCTAAGTACTTCTAATTTGGTATATACATCTATCTATATATAGGATCCTACTTAGATAAATCCTCAGATCACTCCCCTAATCATCCAGCAAATCTTCATACTCTTCAGTAGTAGACTTATCATTTGAGCATATGTATAGCAGTGTTGTCACGGGATAGCTTTAGACAATTTGTGGACAATTGTGAACAATTTTAAACAAAAAAATAAATCTAAATTACTCAAAATTTTATTAAGATAACCTATTTTAATTTCTTAAATAAAAATATTCAGAACTATAAAAAATATATAACCATATCTGTTTTAAACTTATATTAAATTTTAAAGTCTAAATATTTTTTGGATAGTTGTAGACACTGTGGACGTTTGGACGTAGACATTGGCAAAAAAAGTTTTGGACATAGTAGATATGACAACACTAGTATAACTATTTTAAATTGGAGTTGTCTAATATTTTTTAAGTTTATATTCTTCTGTTTTTGGTTTAATATAATAATATTACATAGTTACTTATCTAATATATTATTTAAAAAACTAGCCAAGGGGATGGAGTTTTGTAGCCTAGTGGTCTAGGCGCCTCTCTCTCCACAGATAAGGTCAACAGTTCAATTCTAGTTGGAGGTAAAGCTCTATAATCTACAGAAGCATATGAATATACACGAAGCCCTATAGCAAAGTCTATATAAATAGAAAATTGGTATATAAGGAAGTTTCTAGAAAGAAGTCTCCCAATATGGAGAGTTGGCGCTCAATATTAGAGAAGCGGTGAATATACCAGAAATAGTAAGAAGGCACACTAGTAGGTAATACAGTAAACATAAAAAGAAGCTATAGAAAAAAAATAGACTTACCAAAATTCAAACACCTCTGGTACAAAAACCGGTTTCAATAGATACGGAATATACTGAAATTGGATAAAATCTAGATGGTAAGGGGAGCGCCAGAAATTAGCTGATTTTTTAGGGGGGAGAGAGGTAAAAAAAATTATCAGGTATATAGTTTTAGCCAATTAAAATTTTTTATTTAAAATCAGATAGGGGAGGGAGGTAGCCTTTTAATAAAAAAATATCAGCTAATAAATGGCCCTCCTCTAATCTTGGTACCATACTTAGTAGTTTGCGTCGAAGGTGACATGTAGATCTATAGATATATAGTAACATCTAATGAGATGGTACTTTGATATAAATAGTAATCGATAGCCCTAATCTGATGTGTTATTTAAGGTAATATAAGTATTGCATGTATATACAAATAGTATTAAAAATTAGAAAGTTTAAATAGAGGACCCAGAGGCAGGTCTCAGATATGGCATCTAGTGGGTAACCTATAGGTAGAAACTTTAATTAGATAATGACTAAAGTTATACATGTGGCTAATTGTACTTTTGTTGATAAACTACTATATATATATAATATAATTATGGTACAATTAAGGATAGCAGACGGGATTAGACAGGTATTAAAAGATAGGGAAAAACAAGCTGCTGAGATAAGATCAAAAATAGACTTAGGTTGAAGCAAAAGACTTCAAGAGCAAAGAAGAAACCGAAAAAACAGCATAATGAAGAAGCCCTGAAATCTTTAATACAACAATTCGAAGACTCAGTCAAGACTATCGCAACAAACTAGCTTGAGGAAAGAAAGAAAATTCAAGAAACAAGAAAAAGAAAATTGCAAGCTTTGCAAAGGAAAAAACAAGCTGCCGAAATAAAGTCGAAGTTAGAGTCAAATTGGAGCAAGAGACTTCAGAAACAAAAAGAAATTCGGCAAAAGCAAAACAATAAATTAGCATTAGAACTCTGGCTGTAAACTTCAAAGTATCTACCGAATTTGATCTAGCAAATCAAGAAGAAAAGAGAAGAAAATCAAGAGAAAAAAAAGAA